CTGGAACTCACTTGGTAGCCCAGGCTGGCCTTGAACTCACAGAGATCTGCCTGGCTCTGCCTCCCGAGTGCTGGGATTAAAGGCATGCGCCACCATCGCCCGGTGCATTTGCTGTTCTTGCAGAGACCAAAGTTTGATACCTAGCACTCATGTCAAGTGGCTCACCACCACACATAACTCCAGCTCCTCAGGAATTCAACTCTGTCTTCTGGTCTCTGTGGGCACAGGAACACGTGATGGGTTAGAAAAGGCATACACACAGAGAGTGAGAGAAAAAAGGTAGAGAGAGAAATAAAAATGAATCTTAAAAATGATATAATAGATTGATGAGGTAGCAGAGCAAGGTCAGCCCCCTTGAACATGTGTAGGTCCCAAGGTAAGCTGAGAATGAGATACTGGAAGGACATTATCCGGCTCCTTCTTATCCCAAAGTCCCAGTGTGCAACCTATAATAGCCTCTCCACTGATACTTGGGTGTAAGCATATATCCCATGTCAAACCCACTGTGATTTCCCTAAGCTTTTTGATGACTGTATATACACATGCAAAGGAGACACACTTGTGGTACTGTGGGTGTTACGGAATCCTTGAGGTAGACTTTCAGATAGAAAAAAAGATACTGCTGCAAGCCAAGTGGTGAAGAGAGGTGGGACTAATACTAGAATATCAATATAATCTGCAAGAAACTTGTAGTCAAAATTATAAGAAAGTCCTAAGTCAATATCCCATCAAAACAGTATTTAAGACATTTTAGTGCTTTTACAATTAAGGGACTTGGAAGATAGCTCAATGGGTAAGAACACTGGCTATGCCAGTGTGGGGAAATGGGTTCAAATCCCCAACACCAATTTAAATGATACAGTAGTTGTGTACATCTCTAACCCTAGGACTGTAAGTGGGTGGAGATAGATTTGCTAAGGCTTGCCAGCTGCTACCTTGGCTCCAAGTTCAGTGACAGAGAGATTCCATCTCAAGGGCATAAGGCAGAGAGTGATCAAACAGGGCATCCAATGTCCTCCTGGTAAATGTGCACAGCTGACAAACTTGTGCATTCAGAACACACACACACACACACACACACACACACACACACACCCTGTACACCAAGTATGGTCACGAAATGAAAGCTAAGTGTGGTGGTACATTCGTGTACTCCCAGCACTGAAGAGGATAAATGGGGAGATACTGATTTCATGCCGTCTAGGACTACACAGAGATCTTCTCTCAGTCAAAACAAGTAAAGTGCAGAGTACTCACCTGGCTGTTGATTTAATATTACTGAAAATGAAGACAACATGAAAGAAGAACTAGAACAGATGTTGTTGATTTAAAAATAAATGTAGGAAATGTTTATGAAGTGTGAGAAAGTATTTGTAAAAAAAAGAAAAACATGAGCTGGGCAGTGGTGATGCACGCCTTTAATCCCAGCACTTGGGAGGCAGAGGCAGGTGGATCTTTGTGAGTTCAAGGCCAGCCTGGTCTACAGAGTGAGATCCAGGAAAGGTACAAAGCTACACAGAGAAACCCTGTCTCAAAAACCCCCTCCAAAAAAAAAACATGCAAGTAAAACCAACATAGTTGGAATTAAGCCACACCAAAAGGCTTAAAACTCTATTAATAAACACTATTGGTATTTTAAGACAAAGAATATATTTGCAATTATACAGATGAATAAATTAATATACAGTAGAAGCATCCTAACACACACACACACACACACACACACACACACACACACACAATGCCCCTACTAGACACCATAGTCAAACAATTAAAAATCCCAGTAATATAAACAGATTACTTATTTTGGAAGTGTTGGCCAGTGAGGTCTCATAAACCCCAAACATTACAGACCATTGTCAATGTTCTTGGTTATCCTCTAGAACCTGAAACTTGACAGTAAGACTCGATTGCTGAAGACACTTGACTCATAGAACATGAAGAAATCAAGGTAGTACTCACCTGGATGCTTCGTCCCTACCGGCTAGATTTTAGTGCTAGAAAGTGTTATAAATACAACCAGAGAGCCAAAGTAGTCATTAATTACACTGTTGCAAACCCTACAAGCTATGATAAAGATTGGCCTGTAAAGGCATGCCCACTGGTGAAATAGTGGCATGAACATCATGGAAGTAATCAACTACTTTGATTGGATTTAAGTCCCACTCCACAAGGTAAAACCCATACCTGTCATAATTGTGAGGTCAAGAGCCTATGGCAACACAAGTCCTAGGCCCTAGAGAATAACCTTGTGCTATTATTCTGCTAAATGGGCATAACATTCAACTAACTTCCATTGTTATACCCATAAATTAATATATCTCTCAACCCTCATGAGAAGCTTCTGTAGGCAGGAGATGTGAATTACGGAGACCCACAACTCATCCAAGATTCAGAGAACAAAAGACTGCAGAATGTTTATTCCTCAGTGGAACATCTATACCAGAGCCCCTCCTCACAAGGGGTCACTGTGGAGGAGGGGGCAGAAAGGTGAATGGCAATAAGGAAAGTGTCTTCTGGACACAGCAGGGAAGCTGCATAAAATGAACTTATAACAGTTGTGGCATCATTCACAAGACCTGTGCAAGCTCAAGCCAGACCAAATCCCAACAAGGACAGGGAAAGTGGATACAAAAATCTCACCCCTAGCTAAGGAGCAACCAAAAAATGATAGCTTCTGGGATAGGGAGAGTAATTTTTTTTTTTTCTTTAGAGTATAGCACCTAGTAAGTCAATCAAGCTCTACTGGAAGGCCACATATCCAAGAGTATACAAGTAGCAAAAAGGGAACTTGATGGATTTTTTTTTTTTAAGGTGTGGTATCTGGGAGGAGTTGGGGTTAAAGTGAATATGATGCAAACACATTGCATGAAATTCTCCAAGAACTAATTTACAAAAGAATATGTGTAAGGTATTTGAAATTTTCAAATATCAAGATTAAGGAAGAGTATGAAAATCAAATCAGTGTACTAAAAGGAAAGAACTCAATCTTTCAATATCCATCTTTTCTCTTTTGAAATTTGTTATCCCGATGAAAATAGCCAAAAAATTTGTAAGCATTTAAAACTTTATACTAGATGCTACAAATTGAGACTAATTGAAATCAGTTTACAAAACAAACCATAAAAGGGATAAGAGAGATGGTTCAGCAGTTCAGAGCTATTTATGTTCAGAGGACACAAACTTGACTCCCAGCACTAGCACAGGGTAGCTTACAACCTCTCATGTCTCCAACTCCAGGGGATCTGAGGCCCTCTTCTGGACTCTACAGACACTGCACTCACTTGCATATACCCACATACAGACACATATATACTCGTAATAAAAAATTAAAAATCAGGAGTGAAAATGAGTATATTTTTAAAGTAAATATTCTGTAAGGCATTTAAAACAAAAATAACTGCTCATGTCACCCACAGTTTGAACCCATTCACTGGCCTTGCAATTCCATTATATAGTCATACTTTTTTTTTCATTTGTCCTAATTGCTTAACCCAACACTTTTCAACACCTTCCTTTATAGACTCACAGATTCTTTCCAGAATTCTTTCTTATGCACTCTAAACACCTAAACACAACAAAATCTGGAAGCTTCACATGTCTTCCTAAACACGGTATCTTTCAGGTGCTTTTCCCACAGCCAGAAAGAGGTTAACACAATTATATGTAAACAATATATAACTTGTATGTATCTTCATCAAAACCAAAATAATAGATGTCTCCTAATTGCCCAAACTTATAATTTTCCTTCCACGACAATATTTAAAATTTCCCTGATTTGCTCCACTATGACTACCCAGCGATGATAATTAATTACTTTAGATGTAAGTTAATAATGTAAATGTATAGCTTTATGAGAAGATCCATGTGGGCAGGGACATTACTGGTCCTATTTGCCCTGGTTGACTTCACAAAATTCTACTATGTAATAGCTAACTAAATGTTAGCAATAATTGAAGTGACTTCACAAAAGAAAGTAAAGAGAGCCAGAGCACTTGAACTAATCAGAAAGACACTTGGTCTTCAGGCAACAGCCAAAGCACAACCTAGAGATTCTGGTGTCACTGATGATGATCACAAAGGGGCTTAATGCTGGGAAACATGTACTCAAAAACACAGAGCTGTTCATCGTCCAGTAACTGGTTTTTACAGTTAAGGTTGTCCAGATGGTCAAAGCATTATAGATTGAATAAAAGGCAAAGAAGGAGGTTACCAAAATCAGGATGGTGCGTGTGGCTCTGGCTTCATGGTTTTGTCTAGACTTGGAGAGGGCTTTGTTGTGAATATATTGTACTTGCTTCTTGTGTCTGTGCAGTAAAATGACCATGGAGATGCTGGCCCACATTATGAAAGCCAGACCCAAAAAGTCAGGGGAATAATATAGGAGGACTGTATACAGTGGGTTATAGTGATCTGGCATTTCCCAGAAACAATACCTATAATTACTTTCTAAACTGAGATTTTGCCTACCCCGTGGGCTACTCACTAGAACAGGAATGAATGAATTTAATACAATATGTAAGATCCAGCACAAGAAACAGCAGAAGACAATGAACTTTAGAGATCTAATCTTGACCTCCATCCAATTCCAAATACCAGGGTTGAGCTTAATGAGCTGGAATCCATTCAGGAGGCAGATGGTGTTCAAGGAAACAGCCATGCCCACTCTGCACCAATAAATGGCTAGTTTACATCCGACATCATCCAGGAAATCTTTCCATCCAAAGGCCACTATTGTTTGAGGTATTCCTTTGAAGAAAAGGACCAAGGAGTTGGCAAATGCTAATTGGTTCAGAATTAGATCTGTGGATCTCAATTTATGTCCAATGAAGAAAGAGATGTTGTAAAAGCAAAGGAGGGAGGAATTTCCAAGGATCCCAACTCCTGTCTGAAGGAGGAAGATAATTCCCGTCTCCAATTTTCCAGCACCCATTGCAATGACATTGAGAGAGTCGTTGATTTCAACTGAAGTCAGAGGACTTGGTGGGGGAAAGAACAAAAATAAATGTTTTACATCACAGTAAAGAAACTTTCACTCTGTTTATCCCAGATTATATATCCTCATTTTAGGTAAGTGTTAATAGCATTCTATGCTTACTTATGCAAAAGCAATCAACAGAAGAACAGCACTGGAAATATCACAGCATCTAAATACCAATATTGAATAAATAGATGAATGCACAACTATCCAGCAGACCAATACAGCAGTGGAGATGAGGAAAGACCTCTGGGTATTGATCCAGTCAGTGATATTCCAAAGTTTTTCTAACTGGACTGTGGAATTCAGGAATATCTTAGCCAATGAAGAACTTTGATTACTTACAGATTTATGGGTGTTTAGCTTGCAAGAAAGGCTGGATGGATGCACAGAGGTGCCTTCTCCTGAAATGAGTCATGCTGGAATATAAAGATGCATACAACTGAAACATCAGTCCACTGCTCCAGGTCACTGTGGGCTAAACCCATTACTGTTTGGTGTCCAGGCCACCTCATCTTTTAGATTACCACACAAGCTGTAACCTCTCCAACTCCAGCAGCTTCAGACTTTCAAAATACCATATTTGTTATAGTCTTAGATGGTCTTTAACTTTCACCATGTGTTAAGATAATTTACTAAACTTAGCAGATTTTGTCTACTTCTTAATAGACTTCACTCATGATACTTTTCAATGCTCCAACAATTTCCATGTTTGAGTTGTTTGTTAGTTTTCATTAATGCACACACTACACTAAGGAAGAATATACTTTGTGGAGTTTCCTCCAATCTATATTTTAAGTGAAAATCCATTTTTCACAGAATCAAAATATGTTAATTTTTAGGAAAATAGGAGAATATGCACTTAGCACCAGAAACTTGACTATTTAGAAGGACCATGGTGAAAATGTAGGAAATTTCCTTATATCACAATTTTGGCTTGATGCAGGTTTAAGCATTATAGATTACTTAAGTCATGTTAAAATTAAATTGAAAAATTTAAAGCTATAAGGCCAAAAGTAAAATAAAACAAAATAAGGTCATGTCTTGGCCTGAAAACCTACTCAGAAAAAGATAAATAATTCAAGGAGGACAGTAAAACTACAGATATGCACTGGTATGCTTGTATAATCAATCAATCAAACTCTCTGTGTGTGCTGCTCTCTCTCTCTCTGTCTCCTTCTATCTATCTATCTATCTATCTATCTATCTATCTATCTATCTATCTATCTCTATCTGAAGGAGGATTTGAATAATATCAGGAGATGGCATCAACATGAGCATCTCTCATCTGCTATTATATTATACTCTTATAAATATAAATATTCAGAAAACTAGCTAATGTTTACCTGGGATATGTTTGTGTGTCTGTAGTATTTATTACAACTGGTTGTATTCCATCCATATAAATATATGGATATATTTATAAATAATAAACACTTCAATCAAATGGCTAAGGAATATATGCAAAGCAAAAATTTCTGCAAAGGCATCTTAGTATTTTTCTTGTGATCTTATTTTTGCCAAATCTACCATTACTGATTAGTTTGAAAAGATTACTGAAATCTGACAAAGTAACACCAGCATAAAGCTATCTTGATGGAAATAAAAGCAAGCTTCTAAATTATTAACACATGAACATCAAAAATAGAGACTAACAAAGACAAACTATAGACCAACATATATTTTCAATATAAATATGAATTTAACATAATTATCATTTAAATAGTAGCATTTCTAATATTTCTCAAATAATTAAAAACAAACAATACATGAAAATTACAAGAATAAAATTAAGACATAAGTACAGTTATTTATATTGACAGAAAAAAATAGAGAAGTTATAGAAATATCTATAGCAAATCACATGCACATATATAGGGATAAGTTTATTATTATAATTCATCAGTTTATTTGGATATTATTTATTCAGTATATGGTTTTAGGACCATTATTTTAATAAAACAGAGGTAAATTTTGCCCACACAATTAGAACCAAATAACACTGAATATACAATGTGAAAGATAAGCTGGGTGGTGGTGGCGCATACCTTTAATCCCAGCACTGGGGAGGCAGAGCCAGGTGGATCTCTGTGAGTTCAAGGCCAGCTTGGTCTACAGAGCAAGATCCAGGACAGGTACCTACTCAAAAAACAAAACAACAACAACAAAAAATACAATGTAAAAGATGTCAAATATCCTAAGTGAAAAACATGGAAATCTCAGCACTCAGGAGACAGAGGCAGGAGGATCTCTGTGAGTGTGAGACCAGCTTGGTCTACAGAGAGAGTTGCAGTACAGCCAGAGTTACATAAAGACAGAGACCTGGTCTCAAAAAAAAAAAAAAAAAGCAGAATTATCTTCATTTTAAATTGAGAGAAAGCATCACTATACAGAGTCCAAATTAGAGTTCTTGTTATGTGATAATGAAAGAGTTCTATATGGAGAAGTTGTACAGATTAAAATTAAACCTCTAATTTTAGCCTAGATAAACCATTTAAGAGGGAACATTCTATCATATCATTAGCAATAGTATTCATTATGGCAATGTAGGCAGCCCCAAAACACGTCCATAAGAGTTTACACGGTGTACCTGCTGAGTGTCTTTCTCTCCTACTTACTACCTATCCAACTAACTGTGTCTCAGAAGTTAATGGCTTTTGTTTCTAGTTTCAGAGAACAAAGTTTAATAATACCCAAATTAGCTTTCCTGAGACGAACAGCTCCTAAATATATGTCATTCCCCTGGTGTGAGGAGCTACTTACCAGATTTCGGTTTGCACTCGGGACTGAGGAAAGCCTGTGTGGAGTGTGTGGAAAGAGGCACACAGCCTCAGATAAAGGTTTGGAATCAGTGATCTCAAGTCCCTTCTGATGAGTAATTATCATGTCACCTGTAAGCACTGTGACAGTGTCTGCAAGGGGAGAGAAAATGATCTCAAAAACCACTTGGGGTTTCACAAAGCACTGAACACTATTAAAAGTTCTTAATACAATATCCATCAAGAGTGGCAGAAACTTACTGGGGAGAACTGACTTGGAGAAAAACAGTTAGAATCCCAATGGAATGGGAAAAAAGGAGCCTGAAATCTAATGAGTAAGAGAAAGACCCTAATCAGATCCCAAAGGCAGCTTCTCACTTGATGTGAAGGCATCCTTTTCCAACACATGTTTGAGGAAATGGCAGTAGCCTTCCTGATGCAGCTTTCTTGCAAGACAGAGTGGATTTTACTCAGCCTCCATGGGCACCAAGCCCATATGCTGTGCACAGGCACACATTCATAAAACCCCCATACACATAAAATGAAAAGAAAAGAACAAGAAAGCAGGCTGAGCAAGCCATGAGGAAGAAACCAGTCAACAGCATTCCCCCATGGCTTCTGCTTCAGTTCCTTCTGCCTTTACTTCCTGCCCTGGCATCATTTCTTACTGGACTACAACTGTAATCTGAAATAAACCCTTTTCTCAAGTTGCTTTTGGTCATTCATGGTGTTTTATCACAGCAATGAAAACCCTAACTTAGGTAAGGGCCAACATCAGTGTGAGTTCAATAACCCTGACTTGCAGATACGAGAGTTTGGGTGGTCCTTTGGGATGCCAGCATCATTGCTTGTTACACTCTGGCTTTTCCAGAGGTTCATGTTAATGCAAAGACATCCACCAACCATGAAGAGGTAAGTGAAGGGTGCTTCAGGAGCCAAACTTTTTCATTCTTAGTGTGCCTCAACTCCTTGTTGGATTTCCATAGAAGGTGATCAAGGGATATAAGTAAGGTCCCTGAGTCCACAGCAGGGATGATATGGAAAGGTTTTCACTGATGGCACTGGTATAAGATTTGAAGGTATTAAGGTTCCAATGATTAACATTAGGGAATGCCTGTAAGTGAGATTGATTGGGAATGCTCATAAAGCCTTAGCTATTTACTATGTCTGGAAGTTCTGGAAAGCAGGGGTTAGGATTTGAACAGTAACCTGAGCAGCTGGACCTTGTATACTGAGGTGGAAACAGAACTAGAGATGTAATACAAATGCACACAATTGAGAGAGAGAGAGAGAGAGAGAGAGAGAGAGAGAGAGAGAGAGAGAGAGAGAGAGAGAGAGAGAGAGAGAGAGAGAGAGAGAGAGAGAGAGAGAGATAATGTGTACATGGCCTCCACAGCCAGAATGCATAGCTATAACCCAACACAGTCATATTTGGAAAGCATGATCTAGAGGACCCCATGTGATTTTTCTAATTAAGAGAATGTTCTTTGTCAAATGTCAAGCTTGGATGGACTCCATCTATTTATGTGACCTCTGTTGCTGAGTGCTGAAAACAGGGATCCAAAGGACTTTAAAGAGAGACTGGGTGTCAGTGGTCCCAGGACCTGGTACCCTCTGAGGTAGGGAGCTAAATTGTAGTGGCTATCTTGGGAATGGCCAGAATCCCAGGGGAAAGGGCATTTTACAAACTCAACACTTCCTGTTACTGCAGGGTTATATGGCTTTTGAGGATATGGCTGTTTACTTCTTGAGAGAAGAATAGACAGTTTCATTCCAAGAGGCAATTTCTGAACTACATTGTGATGCTAGAGAACTTCGCACTCTCAAGCTTTTTAGGTAAAAGATTCCCACCCTGGTAGAGAATCCATGACTACTTATCTTTTCAGTGGAAGCAACTAGTATGGGCCTCTCTTTCCATTTGGTTTTGTATTACATGGAACCTATGAAATCACTCAAGTAGGATTGTGGGACAACTCCTTCATGCATGAACTGAGAATCATGGCCACGCATTGTGGACAGGTAGTTGAATGGTGGAACTGGGTGATGTGTGAATTGTGGAATAGGTTGAAATGAAGATTATCTACTGAATACAATGTTTTGGTACCAAGACAAAGGCTCTTGACAGATGTCTGTCTTCTCTGTTGCCTATTTGTTCTCTCCAATTTTTTTTGTCTCTGATAGAGTTAGCCATATGTGTTTGGCCTAGACCCATAGAGCGTTGTGGGCAGTGGCTTACCTGCATTGTGTTGTTAGCTGTGTATCAGTTCCCTCATTCATCTTAGCATGAAGTTTGCTCTGTTTTTGTATATTTCTGGGACTGAGTCTCACTCTGTAGCTCTGACAGTCATCCTAGACATCTCCATATTGGCCAGGCTGACCTCCAAAGCACAGAAATCTGCCCACTTCTGCCTTCAAAGTATGCCATCATGGAAGGCTGGATGTAGGTTCTGTTTGTTTGTTTGTTTGTTTGTTTGTTTTGGGTTTTTTTTTTGTTTGTTTCTCTGTGTAGCCCTGCCTGTCCTGGAACTCACTCTGTAGACCAGGCTGTCCTCAAACTCAGCAAACTCAAAGATCCACCTTCCTCTGACTCTCACCTGTTGGGACTAAAGGCATGCACCACCATGCCCAGTTGAATGTAGGTTCTTAAGTCATCAAGGCTTGTGGGCCTAGATATACCACTGTATTTTGTGTTCTGTGTCTCCAGCAGCTGATCTCTACAGAAAGCTTTCTACTGAGGAGTGTGTTTGAGTCCCTGAGAGCCCTCCTTGTGTTGCATGCCATGCTTGTGTAGTTGGTACCCATGTCATCCCTGGACCAATGATCTTGACAGTCTCAGCACTGGAGTTGGCCCTTCCCACCTTTAATAGCCCCTGTGTGCTGCCAGCACTTTCGTTATCATTATTCTCCTTATTATCTGCTGTCTGTCTCTCCATGGTCTATGTGCACTCATCAGATGTCTCTATGTCTAGGTTGCTGGACTGGAGCCATGGCTGAAAAAAAATTCATTTTAAGCAGAGTATTTCTACAGAAAGAGAACTCAGTGCAACATGCATGGGCAGCTGAGATGTGGCTGGGACCCCCTATGTAATGAGGAGAGCAAGATCTCAATTATGAAAAGGAGCAACCACATGTCTGAGAAGAGTTTCCAGCACAGGAAGGATGGTGTGGACTTCCAGACTAGCTCAGATTTTCTCAGGCATCAGGTGACTCACAGTGGTGGGAAGCCACCCAAGAGCATTGAGAGTGGAGAGGTCTTTCTCATTGGCAACAAGAGCTGTAAATGTGACCATGGCTAAATCTTTAGTAAATCTTTAACTTGTGCACCTCTGGAGAATACACACTGAAAGAATGCATTTAAAGGCAGTGGGTATGGTCAACTATTTAAAGGCCTTACATAAAGGCTTTCTAGATGTAGTGCCTGGAGGGAACCCTTTAGCCAAATGCTGATTGTATTCAACATAGCAGAGTCCATGTGAGGAAAAGAGTCTTCTGTGCAGTTAATGTAGAATAATTTCCAGGCAAAACTTCATACTTGATTGGCACTATATAATGCACATTGGATTATGGTCTTAGAAGTGTGGGGAATGTGAGAAATCATTTAGCTGAAAGTCCAAATAGTACACTGAAGTGTTTGGTGCCTTATCCAGGGCACACAGTAGGAAACTTTGAAGACTTAGGTCAAGGTAGCATTTGTGTACATCTGGCTGCAGGGTATGTGAGAGGGTATGGATGATAGTTTGGGATTGCCATGTCATGATTTTCTTTTTCTCACAGGCTTAATATTTCATAGGATCTTATTGGTAGAGAGACACTAACCAATCATGAACAGATTAGTGGAAGATACCCCAGAGTTCATCCATATGAATCCCATTTACGTGATCTCTAGGCTGTAGTGTCTGGAACTCTGCTTACTCTTCTTGTCCTTCCATCTTTTCACCATGGAAGGTGATCACAGAATGTAAAATTGCTCAGTCCCTTATGTGAAAAGGTTCCCATGTATGACAAAGAGGTATTAAGGTTCCCATGATCAGCATTAGGGAATGCCTAGAAATGAGATTGGATTGGGAATGCTCAAAAAACCTTAGATGTCCTTTATGTCTAGAAATAGTGGGAGGCAGCAATTTGGAATTGAATTGTACCTGAGAAGTTGGGCTGGAATACTAAGATGGAAATGGAGGTGCACTATGATGTAATGTGTATGATGGGAGGGAGTGTACACAGGTGGCCTTTGGGCCCACCTATTAGGTGTATAACGCACAACAGTGACCCAAGTCTGCTCGTATTTGGGAGGTGTGATATGAAAGACCTTATGTGAATTATCTGGTAGAAAGAAGGGACTTCTCATGTCAGTCATCAATCTTGGATGAATTCCTTCTGTCCACATTTATTTTTTAATTGAGTAATGAATGCAGTGGTCACTGGGACATTGGGGAAAGACTGGGTATCAACGGCTCAAGAGTCCACTACCCTGTACAGTAGCAAGCTAAGCAAAAGTGGATAGCTCGTGGTTGGCGAGAGGCTTAAGGAAAAAGGCTTTTTATGAACCCAACTCTCCTTTATTGGACAGGGCTTTGTGGCCTTTAAGGATGTGGCTGTCTACTTCTCAAGGGATGAGCGGACACTTCTGGATGGCTCTCAGAGGCTTCTATACCACAGTGTAATGTTGGAGACCTTTGAATTCTTGGCCTCTTTGGGTAAGGACCTTCCACTCTATCAGAGCTTTCTGGGCTGGGCTGGACTTGGCTCTTCTCACTGCCTAGGGTAGATCTATGAATGCTGGCATGGTTTCAAATCAAGAAACCATTGACTCTAACGCTTTGGTGCAGCACATTAAGGAACATGAACTGTTTCCACTACAGCTGCCCAGTGGCTTCCTTGTCACTTCTGTTCTTTTCAAACCTAGGATATCCTTCCATTACCTGCTGTATTTCATGCATTCCGCTGCAGCACTGTGAAAGAGAGGCTTTCCTTCTTTTTGTTGTTAGCTGTGCACTAACTCCTTGAGCTGTACTTTAATGCAAGTTTTTTAGTCGTCATGT